CAACATGATAAACAAGAGCAACATTGCACTCATCATAGTTCCATTTCAGAACAGCTACAATGGAAGTCCGTCCAAAAATTCTAATCAAGAAACAAGTGAAACTATCACAAAAATGACATGGTAGGCAGACCTTGAACCAAATATCTCAAAACTCAACCCACTAAATCTAAATGTACCTCGTCCTTTAGTTTTCTTTCTCTTTCTTTGCATAAGGAGAATGATAAAATCTCATATGGGTTGTCTTCTTTGCTAACACTGATAAATATATCGTTCTAGATTATACACTAGAAGCATAAAACTGAAGGGTGCTATCAATAAAATACAAATGAAAGTCAGAAAATCGAAAAGTTGTATAAAAAAACATAAAGAATGTCAACCTGTCATGAAAAAGGATTTCAGAAAGCAAACAACAATGTAACATTCCCGAACCTGTGGAAGGGGTAGCACGGCAAGGAAATCGATTATAAAATAGCACTTCAAGTATCTCTTGGCAATCTCTGCAGTGTCTATCACAAGTTCACCCCGGCCAAATACCCGAGACGAAGGCGCAATATAAGCCGTCCGGAACTGGAGACACATGTGAATAAGATAGAATACATCAACCAACGTACGAAGTGTGGTGGCTATGATGGCCAATTTCCTGTCTATGTCCAAGCAGTTTGACGACTTGTTGAAGACTGGAAGAAAGAAAAAAAGGGGGTCTACAGACACACCCAGGATACATGACATCACAAAAAGCTTGTTCCAGATTGTGAGAACCTTGTCTTGCGGGTCGAATATCTTCTTCTCGGAAACTTTGAGGTCCTCCGGGAATACAGCCCGTGAGACACCGAATCCAAGGGACCGGCCAATAGATTTTAGTCCCTGAGATCCCTTTTTTACGCCTTTTTTGAAAGATCTTGACGGAGCATGAGATATGTTGTTGTTACGTCCCAAACCATCGATACCAAAGCTGCATTTGTTGGTCGGCGCTGAAGATGAAGGGGATGATAGTCTCGAGTCCAGATCATCCAGCCTTTAATGAAAAAGAAAAAAGAAATGAAAAAATAAAAACTTTATAACATTTTCCTAATTGAAGATATCAATTGCACAAGTGAGAAAATGCAGACATTAGTAGCCAATATTGCGAGTCTCACAAGTAAGGCGGTGCTTATGTTCCACTGAATCATGAAAAATACCAATTGAAGGAGAGGATCTCTTCAAATAACAAGTCAACCAGTTGTTATAACATCTTAAGACAATTTTTTTATTCCATGAAGCAGGTTCACCTAGTAGAGACAGCTAACATCGAACTTTCATTTGATAATATTTACGAATAGAAAAAAGAAAAGAAAAAAATACCTTAAAAACTTGTCCCTCTGCCCAGCAATATATGGAGCCTTTGGGCCGCAGTCGAACATTTTTTTACAAATGGTGCCAATCTGACAGATGGGAAAAATAGAAACTTAAAGAATCATGCAAGAAAGTAAAACAAGTTAAAAAGCTTCGGAAAAAAAAAAGGTCCCAATTTTTCATTATTTCACCACATAAGGCATTTTTTAGCTCTGTCATCTAAAAAATTTGAACACTATTAATCAATAAAGATAACTGTACACTTTAACCCTAATATTTTTTCCCAAAATCAAATTTAATAACAACTGAAAAGGCAATGATGTATCCAATATAACCTTGTAATTATATCTTACTCAGCTTTTACAAACAGACAAATCAAGCAAGATTTCATACTTAACCACACTCAAGTCAATCCACACTACATTGCGATGAGGACTATATTTCAAAATAAATTGCTAACAAGCTTGTGACGATAGGTAGTCAGCTTAGGAAGAAGTAAAGGCTTGGAGCCCCAGAAAACATCTTATGCATCTGCACCGGCCTTGTGTTACTCATCCCTGTGTACACATAACTTCTGAAATCACTAGTAGGTAATAATTCTCCTGAGCCTACCAAAAATCTTCTGATTCAGTTTTCAAAAATCTGAAATCTAAAAAGACACTCAACGAGTCAGTCAGATGAAAGCACAAAATTAACAACCAAAAAATCTTACAGCAAAAGTTAATTCTTTACACCAAAAACCAATTCAAATGTTCATAATCTTTCCCGAAACTGTGGAAAAGGAAGCTGAAGGTTACTGAGGCTCAGAGATTCCACTTACAAATTGAACTCAGATTCATCATTTTTCTAGCTCACATGAAGAATACTATATAATTTTTGTGCAATCATCTTTATTAAGAGAAGAATGCTACAAAAGACCCATTCTACAGTCTTTTTACATATTTCCCCTCGGACAAATGTTATACCTAGGCTTCATAGCGCATCTATAACAATTTGCAGCAGCAGCAATCGTTTACTATTTTAAAGAACACAAAAATAAAAGTAAATCACAACTTGTACGAGTGATGGAGCTCGTCACACCTTGACGATATTGCAAAAACATTACTCCATAACAAGTGAAAAGCCAATCGAGACTTTCTCAATCAAAAACATTAAATCAGATTAAAAAGAAATAACATACTCGGCAAAACACCCAATGTTACTACAATTAGATGCACAGAACTTGTAAATCGGATCAAAACGAGTTACTTACAGATATTAATTACGTCATTAAAATCAGTATACTGATTAATTTTCAGAGGAGTGGGAATGGAGAAAGAGTGAGAGGAGAGAAGCGAGAGAGGGAGAGAGATTTGCTTAAGCAGAGAACTGAAGTCAAAATTATCCAGGCAAGTAAACAAAAGTGGGGGAGCACCAAGCACAAAATGAAAAGGACATATAAAATCGACATATTAATCTTGTTTAGATTTCTTTATAAAAAGTATGTAATCTTGACTATATTTATTTTGAAAATATTATAAATTGAAAGTTATTAATAAATAAAAGAGTAATAATATGCAGAGAAATTGACAAATCATAATATGTTCGTCATAAAAAAATAATATATTATCAAAAATTATATTGTATACAAAATTATTAGTTTGATTATTAGGAAACTCGTCCCCACAAATTAATATTTTCAACATCTTTCTATTATTTACACCCGAAACAACAACATATAATTGGCCGTTACTAATCGATTTTTTCCTATTAAGATCAGACGTGCGATAAAGACTAATTCTGACTCTTATTTATGGTCATGACATACAAAAACCATCGCTGAACTTTTATGGAACCCTAAGATCAGAAGAAAATATTTATAATCTGACAATTTACATGACAGTTCAACAAATGAGTTGTCAGTTTATCATTTTAATATCAATTATACTTGATTAGCAAAATAATATTTACTAATATTTTTACACATTTTTATCATTAATTTCTTAAATCCATGAGCGTCAATACTATTTTATATTATTTTATACTAACTATGTTTTATTATATATAATTTTATATTTTATTGCATGAATAACTTGAGACTAATTCCTTATTATAAATCAATATTAAATAATAAATTTTAGTTCATTTTATATGTGCAATTAGATAATAAACTTAATAATATGTTAAACATATATATTTTAATTATAGATACAATATGAGTGTCAAATTGAATTTTTTAAAACAAAGGGTCTGAAATTTTAATCAATAGATTTAGATCAATTGTTGATTTCACATTAACTAAAACAAAAAATCGTGTATTTATATATATTATTCACACAAAATATTTGTTAATAATAACAGTTACCTTCCTTACAGTCTTTGACTAAACTTCGCTTTCGCTTCGTTCTTTGGATCCACTTCGCTAAGCCATCCTAAGTTTCTAAACCGTAAGCTCTTTTCGTAAATTATTGCTATTGATTTTTTAGAAATCAAATAACCCGTTTCAGTTTTTTTATGTACAAAAAATAGCTAAAAGAATCCATATATTAAAAAGATGTTGTATTTAGATAATTATGGACAAATCTTATAAAATTTATTTCGTATCTTTTATATAACAAAATTAATGGGAAGGGTTCATATAAATTGGGATTTTTTCCAAACTTTTAAAAACAAGTATTGTAGTTAGATAATTATGGACAAAAAAATCTTGAAAAATAAACTAATGATGTACTAATATTAAAGGGATGAATTTACATATTACAATCCTTAAAAAGTATATGAAAAATAAGTCCGTAATGAAAAAAAAACAGTATACAACTAAATATGGATATAGTGTATATTATAGATGTATTAGTTCTTTTATTTATTTATTATGTTAGATGATTCAAGAGTTATTTTCTTTTATTTTGGTTTTGACGTTCTCATAAGAAACATTTATTCATCAATAGTATTGCAAAATTATTCTTAGTATGATTTTTATAAAGTACTTCTACTAACAGTTCATGAATATTTTTGTGAAATAACCAATCGTGTTATTAAAATTGTTGAGATTTTTTAATCAGTGTATAAATACTACATTACTTTCTCCATGGATAGATAAATTGGTACTTACCCCATGGAGTAGGAACGAATTTCATCTCCAAATAAAAGTTGACTTTACAAAATTTTGATTACATGTACTTCTCCCGACAAGCAAAATTCGTAAAAACATCACACATTGCATGAAAGTACTTACTCCAAAGTAATTGCACATATTTGGAGCACAATACCAATGAGACTATTCCTATAGAAAAGTGACAACTTCGTTCAAACATTCAAAAATATTATGATCAGGCTCCGACATTCCATTTTTCAGTGTTATTTATTTGGAAGATAGACGAATTACATAATCTATTATTTTGTGAATCATTGAGGAGATGTTTGGATGCAAATTTATCCAAAAACATCCAATCATTTTTAACCAATCACTCTTTTTAACTCAAATCTAACTCAACTTTAACGCAACCCCACTATCCTCAATATTATCAATATAATTAGATAATAAAATTAATGCATTCTTACATAATGCTTGGTTGTAATGATTTTAGAGTTTTTATCATAAAATCTTTCACATTCATTCAAACTTGCAAATTTAAGTGTCTAATAACTTCTTTAATGTATTTATTGTCCAACTTTTTGCATCATACATAATGATTCAAAAATTCAAGATAAAGATCCGTTCTTCATTCTTCAACAATGACAAAACAAAATAATGAGGCAATATTAAGAAGCATATCATTTGTCAAAATATTTGGGAAGAGAAGAATTAGAATTCTATTATATTATGATACTCTTAGTCATCTGTGAACTTTATTATTACAAAGTCATTAATAAATTTATGGTGATATTTTATTGTTGAAAGAGTTAGAGCACATTTATATGTATTGCATTTTTATTTGTACATGTTTTATATTTGACGTTGTTATTAAAATATTTTATTTATTAGGATACAACTAATATAATCATATAAATAAAATAATATTTAGTATAACTTATTTATTTGTTTATAATAATAATAAATTTGATAAAAATATAGATTTATATTGTTTATAAAATTAAAAGTTTAGGATTTTTTAGTCTAGTGTTCGATAAAATATGAAGTAACTAACTTATTTTCATATTCACAAAAAATATATATTACAACCATTCTGGCGTTCTCTTCATCAGTAATTGGATAGTTATTTAACATACAATTCATTTATTTCTCTTTTTAATTCACATAGTTAATGTTGGTAGTAGTTGTACATTTACATCCATTTGTACTTTTTCCTTGGTATGAATATTTCAAACCTATGTAAAAAAATATACCAGAACTTTATTTTATGTTATTTTTTACTTAATAAAATTGATGCAACATGGATTTATAATTTATTTTATAAGATATTTTTAAGTTCATTTATTATTTTAAATCAGTATTGATACATATATATATATATGTATATATATATATAGATGTATATATATATATCTATATATATATATATAGCGATAGAAATAATTTTACTATTTTTATGTAATTTACATTGCATTGGTCAAATAAAGCATCATTGGAAATAAACTATGTGATATATTGCATATAAAAATGGTGACAAATAAAAAAATACAAAGTATTTTAAAATTAAAAAATTTAATGGTAGAAAGTAATTAAAATTTTAACTAAAAAAATAAATATATATTTTTTAAATGTGCATCTCATGTGTGTTTTATATATATTTATCATTCTGCTCCAATTGATATATGGCATTATATAATTTTGTCACTTTTTTAACTTTTGGATTGAACACGAGCTATAAGGGTGTGACTCGATATGAGTTATGATCAAACTCAACTGATTATAATCAGTTCAGTCGTTTCATATTAAATCACCTAATTCAAAATTCAACTCAACTCAACTCTCCTACCTTTTATAAATATAATTCAATAATATCAATAAATTATTTTCATACATCACATCAACTTTAATTCACTATTCATCACATAATTTTAACTATTTATCACTTTATATAGGCTCTTTCTTACTTTTACATCATATCAACTTTACTCATTACATTTTAAATATTATTTAATTATAAATATACTTTAGTCAGAATAACTCAATTTAACTTACTTTAATTCATCAAATTGTACTACAACTGGTTTAATTCATATCCAACCGTCCCCTAAATTTCCTTATTGTGTAGTCTTTCGTTTTTATTATGTAGAACATCATTACTATCACATGCTTACTTATTATAAGACTAATATAATTAAGAACTTTCGACCTAGTTGTATCATGTTTGCCTTAAAAAAGAATTACTAATTATCATAAATTAAATTATAATTACATTAAATATGTTACATATTTATATCATTATCAAAAATTTTCATAATAATTTGTTGCACACAATACTTATATTATGCAATTTTTTTTAATCATTTGGAGCCATACTTTACGACAAGAAAATGATAAAATTCCAACGAAAATATATTACAATGGAGTTTCAATGTTATTACTCTCGTATGAAATTTCCAATGAAACTTCTAACAAAAATATTACGTTGGAATCATGGACAGATTCATATTTATTTAATAGGCCCGACACAATCCCTCATCCATAAACATATAACATAAGGTATCTAACAAAAAATTGTGAGAACGTTTTTCATAAAAGTAATGATCCCTCCTATTCAGAAAATAAAATTAAAAGAAATAAAATAATTAATAAAATAATTTACAACTCAACAATTGTAATTCAATTCAGCTCATAACTTTATTAAAGTTATAGCATAAAAACGGTATCACAACTAAATGAAATATGAGAAATATCAAAATTATAATTTTACCCTCTCATTCTATTTTTTAAATCTTGACAATAACTTCTATTCTCTCTTTTGCAATGTAGTGCCCCACTTATTTTAAACAAATATTGTTCACATTTTATTTTGTCATTAATAATGAATTTGGTAGTAAGGTGGTTATTATTATTATTATTATTATTATTATTATTATTATTATTATTATTATTATTGTTATTATTATTATTATTATTATTATTATTATTATTATTATTATTATCATCATCTTCATCATCGTCATTATTATTCTTAGCCAAAGTAATTTTTTCTAACCAGAATTCAGGTAAATAAATTAGGAATCAAGAATTAAGGTGAAATTATTAAGAAGGACTAGTATTCGATCTTGTGCAAATGCACAAATCGAAAAAAATGTATATTATATGTACGTATATGATATTTATAAATTTAAATTAGATAAATTATGTATTACATTTTAAAATTTGACTATGTATAAATGTATAATATAAATATAAATAATTTAACTTCCATATAAATCAGATTTTTTTTGTTATTGTATAACTATAATACAAAATAGGAATATTATATGTTAAATAATTTAATATTGTATATTAAAAAAAATTAAGATTTGTAAAGTTGTTACAGAATAAAAAATTAATAATAATAAAGTTTTACTTGTGTAACTGTCATTTGAATGCTGGTCATAAAGGTTATTATTAAATGAAGTCCTATTTATTAGATTATTATTGGAATAAAATTTATGGTCATAAAGATTATTATTAAATGAAGTCCTAGTAAAATTTATTGAAGCCTGCTAGCAATTATATATATAAAGATGAGATAAGGATTTAAAATATATAGTTACCAAAATTAGAAGAATTGGAGTGAATTAAGATAAATTACTAAGGAAAGAGAGATAAGAGAGATAAAAACTAAGATTTGGAAAGGGAGAATCGGTCGATTATTTTTTCCATACGTTTTCCACTCCCTCATGGCCAAAATTGAGGGATCGGTTTCACATTTTCCTCTGCCCGCGCTGTGTGGCGTTAGGGCCTCGAGTGTCGCTCGGGTTGGGCGCAGCTCCTTGCCCTGCACGAAACGCGCTCGGTGTCTTGTGCGTTGCCAGACTCCCACCCGCTTCGAACACATTCGCGCTGCTGTCAAAGCCGCGCGCGCGCACCTAAAAAGGCTGGGACCTAGCCTGCGTGCAAACTGGGCTTGCCTTGCTCGCGCATGCAGACTGCTTTTTCACCCGTCGCGAGGCCATCGACGTTGTCTCACGGCATCGCGCGCGTCCACTGCTTTTAGCACTCGGCCGAGTGCAATCGGGCCGCGGGCAACAGCAAGCTATTCGCGCTCATGCAAGACCATGCGCGACTATGGCCGTGTAGTGGCTGGGTCTCATCGCCGGTCGTTGAGGACCACCGGTCTTCGAGGTTGTCCGAGCTCATTCTCAAAGAACATATAATTCATAAAAAATAAACTACAAGAATCCTTGACCCCTGAATGAGTTTACATGTTTGTCTAGAATGCAATAAATCTATACGGTATCCCACTGTGGGAATAAATTTATTACAAGACTTCAGAACCCTGAAATTCCTAGAAAATCCTAAGGCTTTAAAAACATGCATCAAATTAAAACATACATCCAAGGCTATAAAAGTGGATTAATAAAATTCTGTCAAAATCGAGTTATCCAACAATTATATGTCGCGCCTTAGAACAAAATTAGTTCATGCATACTAACACATAAAGCCTAAAAGATTGAACTTTACACATAGCACGAATTAAACCAAGTGATCTCATACTACTTGTTGAGGGTTTTATTAAGAACGTCGTATTTCATGCAAGCCACATATCTAAGTCTACGAAAATAAAGCCTAAAGCGCAACGGACTAAAGTTGGTTTGAACACTTATGGCTTAAAAATTTGCAGACTCTGAGATGTTTCTGATTTTCGTTGATGGAGATCATCTGAACCAATCATGGAAAATAAAAGTTCATTTTCGGAGGGATTGGATCGATGGAATCATGGAGGCGCATGCGTCGCAGATCATCGGGGATGGCACGTTGTGGGTTGCAGTCACCGATTGCAAGTGGCTCGACGTCGCGGGTCACGGCTAGGATCGGGTTGTGGGTCATCGGTCGTCACAGCTAGACACAAAGGCAGACGATGGACGTTTGAGCTCACGACAGCAGTCAACAGACACGAGTGCTCGGGAGTCTCGGGTTCACCTCGGGACTCCTATTGTATTACCTTGCCCTCTTTGTTTGTCTTGGTGGGCGACTCACAAAGATATCTCTCTATCTAGTGATATGATCATTATCACAAGAAGATGTATATATTTATAGACTACAATAAGGACCCTAAGGAGGTGCGAAATATGGGATTACCAAGTATGGGACTAACTGTGTGGCAAGCCCACTATGCTCATACTTGAACAGTTCTCCAGTCCACTAAAGAAAAATTGCTGATCTCCTCATTTGGCTCCCAAATTAAAATTTGAGGCTCTAATAATAATTACTCGATTTATCTTTCCGTATTTAAGATATAATGTTCGTCAATTAATTAATTACTGACAATATAATTAAGTGACTTTTTGTGCCGAGACTAGTACCACTCAAAGCGTTACTATTATGTCGGAACTTAATCTACCTACAGGGTATAACATAATAATTCTTCTTGGGCTCATCTCGAAAACATCATCAGCCTATCATCACACAAGGTGGCCATAAATAATCAAAGATCACAACATCACTACCCAAAACATGTTAGACTATTGACTCAGCATAATGAGTCTCACGTTTTCGTGAATAAAAGTAGCAGCTACTATATGCACGTGTCTGTTCATATCTCACGGGTTAAGAGTACGCAGTAATTAACCAAAGTCTAGTTTGTTACCGATCAGTGCTAAACAAACTTATCCTTGCTGGATCCATTCAATGCACACAGTGCACTAGTATAATTAATCAGTGAAGACAAACTGTACATTTAACACTACAACCCTTCATGATGGGTTGTTCATTTCCATCTGGGTTGTGAACTACTTTATTTATGTTTTATAAGTAACCAATACATGATCTTCTATCTCATCCGTGATGGACCACAACATCCATATGTAAAACATCAGAACATAACACAAATTAAATAAACTTGATTCTCATTCAAAATAAAGATAGTGTTCATTACGCAAAAAGTCAATCTTTAAGTTTATACACCAACAGAAGAGTGGGCCCCCTTTCTACAACAGGTCTCTATCGAATCACATTTAATGCTACCGTGCTAGCCTATGAAACAGTGTCTATAGGTTTGGCACTAGGAAGTCCCCATCATTTATGTAACGTGGGATAGAAGATTGATTCTCTCAATAAATACCCACGAAATACACAAAATTCAAGCTGATTTATATTTACTTCCCGACATCTGACCTCTTATATAATTACTTTTAAATCTAAGCTGATTTATTTTTACTTCCCGACATCTGACCTCTTATATAATTATTTTCAACCAATTTAACTTAGGGAACTTTCCCCTATAGTTGGCTCAAGTTTCATAAGTCAACACCGGTCTTAATTAACCTAAACGAAGGTGCTAGATTTACAAGCTACTGAAACCATGAGTGGTGCGATCAGAGAAGAAGCATGGGGAAGACGTCGTGCAAGAGAGATTTATCTAGGTCCTTCTGCAGGCTGGGGATGAGAATCAATATTCTCCTCAGGCTCATTGACCATGCGAAAAGGTCAAGAGGACAAAAGAGCAGGTTGAGGAATACGTTCAAGGGAGGAAGAAGAGGAAAATGAAGGATAAGAAAAGGATGGGAAACATAATAATCCACTCTTAGATTGAGTTATCTCTACTTGACTAGAGTGGGGTGACCATATGATATGTGATACCATACCAGCATAATTAGGTCGCGTACGACCTAATAACGGTCTGAACGAATTTACTTAACCGAAAGGTCGGTCAATAGCAAAGTCGATGTTGACCTCCTAGACAAAGCAACACGAAAACAAATCGAGGTAGGGCTCTCGATTGGTCTGATAGAACCTCGACATGGAGACCTACAAGTCAATGTACGACCTGCGAGGAAAACTTAATTACTTGTTGAAGGTCGGCGCGACCTAGTTCAATAGAAGCTGAGCTAATTGCACACTTAATTAGGTTGCCTAAAAAGGTAGACTAATGTGAACATTCCACATAATAGATAATGAATAATATAATTAAGATAAGAACATTTGGATAAGACCACGTGGCCTAATAGAATTGGGAAATTTGGGAAATTTGGGCACTTGGGCAGTAGGATCGGGTAGCTCGAGCACTCGGACAGCCCAATCAGGTAAGCTTGAACAACAAAGTAACACGGCTATATAAAGAGGTGATGTACGATCATCACAACTCTGCACACTTTAAGCATTCTATACTCACATACTTTGTATACATCGTCACAATGACTTGAGCGTCAGAGCTTTTCGTCGCGACAACCCCCGATGCTGTTTTGCTGGTCAATTTACTGATTGAGAGCAGATTGAAGAACGTTCAACCTAGTCGAAATCGTTTACACTACCAGTAACATATCATTTGCGTGATATGGGGTAAAAAACAGAAGTTTATTGGTGTAAGTGCGTAAAAGAAAGCAGATGTATATAATGAGGTTATAAAAGAGGCCCCCACCCAAAGAAATATATACGCAACCACTTGAACATGAGAATCACATAGAAATACTTGGGGAAAAAAAAAATAAAAAAAATCTTCCATTATGTAACTTCCCAAAATATGCTGTCGATCGGAACAAATACTTAAATTCATTAAAACCACAGGTAGTACATACATATACCAGAAAAGGCAGGTAATCTCAAGACTTGTACGCGCAGCAACAAGTCAACGACTTCTCTTACACTTTCCTCATAGGCACCCAAAAATCGAATTTCACAAGTTTGCAAACAATAATCAACAAACACTAAACAACAAATGTATTCAAGCAAGATACACACAATCCTAATTGCGGGGTCGGGTGTGGTCCGTGGTAGCCGTCCCTGTAGCAACCCGTGCAACATCAAGGGCAGTGGCTTCGGTCTTCTTGGTACTATAAAGAGTAAAGTAGCCGATCACTGCAGCCGCCGTAAACCCGACGAGTGCCATCCTGGCGGGGCACATGGGCAACCTGCTCCGCTGGTGGAGTACCTCAGGCCCGTGCTGGGTGGCCGAGCTCGCACGTGGGTTCCCCTGGTAACCGCTGCTCTGATCAGTCGAGGCAGATGATGCAGCCATGCCCACGCCTGCCGCCCGCACGGGCTGGCGGCCTTGCCCTGGGAGCGGTGGGGCCTGTACCTTTGTTGGGTTCACGTTACCTGGTGCTACCATTGTTTTTTTTTTTTTT